AACATTTAAGTACTGTTACATTTGTACTACCTGATGACTCCTATGGCTGAGGCCTGGAATGGATGTACATGCCTGTCCCTAGGACAGGGGTCTGCAACCTTTAAGACATAAAGAGCCACTTGGACCCGTTTCCGAGAGGGAAAAAAAAACTGGGAGCCGCAAAACCATTGCAACATTTAAAACAAATCCGACACTGCATATATTGCAAAAAGCGCTCTGGTCATGAAGGGGGTTTAAGGGCCCAGTAAGCAAAGGGTTAATCAGGGCCACAGTGTATCGTCATAATCACAATCATAGCCTTAGGTCAGTGGTGGGCAACCTTTTTTTTTCAACTGAGCCAAATCTCGCCAAAAACCACGATTGAAATTTATTTTGAGAGCCACATTTTTAAAACTGAAAATACATCCCCCATATAGTAATTCATCCCCCATAGTAATTCACCCCCCATATAGTAATTCATCCCCCATAGTAATTCATCCCCCATAGTAATTCATCCCCCATATAGTAATTCATCCCCCATATAGTAATTCATCCCCCATATAGTAATTCATCCCCCATAGTAATTCATCCCCCCTATAGTAATTCATCCCCCCTATAGTAATTCATCCCCCCTATAGTAATTCATCCCGCATATTAATTCATCCCCCCATATTAAGTCCCCAAGTCCCCCCTGTGTCAATTCACTTACCTTTGCTCCGCGCGTTCCTCTCGCCGTGTTCCCGCGCCGTTCGGGTGTAGCATGAAAATCTGTCTCCTATGAGGATCTGTCCCCCTCGACGTATCTGCGCATGTGCCAGTTTCAGGCATTAGCAGCCGATCGGCGATCTCTGGCACATGCGCAGATACGTCGAGGGGGACAGATCCTTATAGGAGACAGATTTTCATGCTACACCGGTCTTCAGGGCGGACTGTGAGAGGAGCCTAGCGGGAGCCTAGCTCCGCGGGCCGGATTAAAAGGTCCGCCGGGCCGTAGTTTGCCCATTGCTGCTCTATTGCCTGTCACCTGGTGGGCAGTGTGCTCCGGAGCCGCAGCCAAGGTGAAAAAAAGCCGCATGCGGCTCTGGAGCCGCTGGTTGCCGACACCCGCCCTAGCAGTACAGAGTCACCATAGTAACACTGCTACTTGTGGGGGGTGATGAAGATTTTTTTTTTTACACTGATTGCTTTTACACCCATAAAAGCTGTAAACACAATCATTTCTCCTTCTCTCTGGCTGCACTGAGAAACACTGTGTGAGCTGTGATTGCTCACAGCTTGTCACATGCTACAAGGCTGTTGTGAATAGCCTTGTACCATGCGACCTCTGTGATCATTCACAGATTTCACTAGTAGTAAGCAATGATGTCAGGAAGTAACATCTTGCTTACTACTATTCATGTGATCACTGATTGGCCAATCAGTGATCACATGATCAGGACCTCACAGAGAGGTCTCATACAGCGATCGGTGGACACAGCGGGCACCGGATTGCGGTGCCGCGCTCTCCTAGAAAGCGCGCACAAGCAGGGAAGCGGAAGGATGCTTATAAAGGGATTGAACAGATTTCACTCTATGCGGACGATATGTTGTTGTATTTACCTGATGCTGCAGACTCCCTTAGGGTGGCTCTAGAGACCACTTTGGATGATTCTCTGGCAACAGGATTAATTGGCATAAGTCGGTCCTGTTCCCTCTGTCTCTGCGGACTCCTGCCCCTCATCAGTTGATGGCTTTGACCTGGGTGCTTAAATTTAAATACTTAGGGACAGAGATTCAGGGGGGACTTTTCCCAATATTTGGTGGATAATCTGTATCCCATCCTACAGCAGCTAGCCCATAAATGTCAGATCTGGAAAATTTTACCCTGTCTCCAGTGGGCAGAATTAATCTTATCAAAATGATCTTCTTCCCAAGTTTTTAAATATCTTCAGAAATACTCCATTTCCCATCCCTACTTCCTTCTTCACTAAACTAGACCAGATACTTACCACTTTTATTTGGGCAGGGGCCACTCCTAGGATAGCCAGATTCACCCTGCAGCTGCCCCTCTCCCTATGTGGCATGGTGTTACCTAATATCCACCATTATTACTGGAGAACGGTATTGGTGACGGTAAGATGTTTTGTGCAACCACGGACAAACCCAGTCGTTAATCTGGAGGCAGCTATTTTGGCCTCCTTTTCAGCATGAAGCAATTTGGTGTTCAGATGCCCAAGAGCCAACCCCCAGTTGACGCTTCCCATGCGCACCATGGTGCGGGTGTGGAATCAGGTTGCATCAGCTATTGGTGAGGCTAATACAATCATTCCCCACACTCTGTTGTGGGGGAACGCTCAGTTGCCTAATCTTCCCTCTGTACCGGATTTGTGTTTGGGCTGGGTTTCGTATTACAATTGTACAACATATCATGCCCCAGGGCCGGTGTCTCCCCTTTAATACACTAAGGGAAACACTCTCCCCACATGGATGTTTTTCCAATATCTGCAGCTGCGCCACGCAGTGCAAGCACAATTCCCCTCTGAGGTGACAGTGACGTCTCATAGAGTGGAGCACTTCGTTATCTCATGCACTGAAGACAGGATTCTATCCTTGCTCTTAGAATCTCTGGTAAAGATATTGGTAAACTTTCTCAATTATTCCCTATCTGGCAAAGGGATATTCTGACCCTGACGACGACTAAGGATTGGGATGAAGGGATCCAAAAATATATTCCATGGGTAATATTGGCTAAAGATAAATTTATTCAGCTAAAATGTTTGCACAAAGCCTACTATACCCCCCAACAGCTCACGGGAATATACCCTTCCCACTCTTGTTGCCCTAAGTGCCATACCAAAATTGGTACATTCATGCATGTTGTATGGTTCTGTTCACTGATCCAGGCTATTTGGAGAGAGGTTGTGGCAGACATCAACTCAATGGGGGAACTGATGATCCCGATGGACCCATGGGTGCTTCTACTGGGGAGCTGTGAAGCTGTGGCTCTTGCCACTCAAGCAGTTATTTGTGCTTTATAAGGCCTTTTATGCCAGAAAAGCGATCCTCCCACGATATTCCAATGGAGATCCCTGATTGATGCTGCCCTCCCTTTCTACAGACTTACCTATAGGAGTCATAAATGTCCCAAATAATTTGATAAAATCTGGGTGGCATGGGTAAAGGCTCGACCATTGTGTCTCTGACGTGGAAACCTCTGAAAGTGCTCATATGTTGAGTTTGTGGTTTTCTGACAATCTCTTCTCTTGTCCCCTCCACCTCCCCCCTCCTTTAGTCCCTCCTCTGCTTTTCCCCTTCTCCCCCCCTCCTTTCTTGTACCAGGGATGAGATTCAGATAAATTTGTTTATTTGTTTGTGATTCCTAAATCTTCATGATGTATTTTACTGGGTCTTTTATTACTGGATAATAGTAGTGATGTGTATGACTTAGCCTGTGCCTTAGCCTGTTCTTATCTGTGCCTTTAAAATCATTGTAACTTTGCAGTATGTAACTTTTCACTGAAGAATAAAAACATTTTCTGGTAAAAAAAAAGAAAAAAGAAAACTGGGAGCAAATTCACCTAACTACCTACAAAGGTTCAGTGAACCTACACAAGAGAATGGTTATAAAGATCTAACATGCTGGTACCGGACACCCCTCTACTGCACACATTCTGCCCAGACTACTCAGAAACTTGCTGGGTAACTACCTATGACCTAGACTTCACACCAGCCCAATTCTTACTTCATCACTCTCCCCTACCCCACAAACTCTACTTCAAATTAAGCCATGTACATGGTTAATGCCATTAAACAATGTATCCCAATCCACTGGGGATCCACACGTATCCCCTCAATCAAGGAATGGCTCCGTAAAATTCAAAAACTAGCTGAGATGGAAGAACTTATTTCTATTGCCCGTGACTCCCCCACCAAATTCTCATCTAAGTGGGCCTCCTTGATCCATTTCCAGACATCCGCTGAATTCTCTCACCTTACTGACCCCTCAACCCAAACACCTAAGGGCCTTTTCTCTACCCCCTCACCCCCTCCTCCCAGGACATCCTACAGAGGAGAACCCCAGCCCTTGACCACTTACCTCCACACAGCATCCCTTTATCCCCCCTCCACCCTAACACACTGAAGGGTTACCCAGACGATAGCTCTGTATAGTATGGGGAGGAATAAGAAAGTCGCCCTCCTCCCACGTTACCTGCTCCACCTCTCCCCCCTTTAACTGCCCTCCACCCCATTTCTTTCCTTCCCTCTCTCTTTTCCCTCCCCCTTATCCTTCTCACCTTCCCCTATCCCTTACCATACATGTACCCACTACTGCTTCAGGCCAAAAGGTGCTTTAATCATAGAATTGGCTTTTAGGGACCGCCCACAGCTCACCCCCAGTCTCTATGGCCCAAGAAGTTTACAAGATGAAACTCCCATCCATGAGCACTGGGCAGAACCCACCACCTATTGCTAGATGATTAAGCTGTGCCCCCCCCCCCCCCCTCTTTATCTTGAGACACCTATACATCTAACCCATATTCACAACTCTCCCCCGCGGGAGGCGAGATTTTGCTTACAACCTTTAAAGAACATTTATACGTTCCTACTGCTTATATATGTTATGTTACGGAGCTATCCATTCCTCATTGTGTGACTTTTGGTCATGTACGCTGTTTGTTTTACCTTCCTTTACAAATAAAAATCTTTTGGGGAAAAAAAAGGAGTTCCTGAGATAATAATTAGGGGACGTAAAGAGGTAGAAGGTCAGGGGTGGGAAGTTGGGCCTGGCTGTGGGAGCGTGGCAACTGCTAAGTAGTATAGAAATATTAAAGAGAACATGTACACTATATTGCCAAAATTATTGTGACATCCCTCCACATCATTGGATTCAGGTGTTCCAAATCACCTACATGGCCACAGGTGTATAAAATCAAGCACCTAGGCATGCAGACTGCTTCTACAAGCATTTGTGAAAGAATGGGTCTTTTTCAGGAGCGCAGTGAAATCAAGTGTGGTACCATGATAGGCTGGCACCTGTGCAATAGGTCCATCCATAAAATTTCCTTGTTACTAAATATTCCGCAGTCAGCTGTTAGTGGTATATAAAACAAAGTGGAAGCAACTGGGAACAACAGCAACTCAGCCACGAAGTGGTAGGTCACGTCAAATGACAGCGGGGTCAGAGCATGCTGAAGCGCACAGTGCACAGAAGTCGTCCACTGTCTGCAGAGGCAATAGCTAAAGACCTCCAAACTTTGGGCGGACTTCAGATTAGCACAACAGTGCATAGAGTTTCATGGAATGGGTTTTCCATGACCAAGCAGCTTCCTCCAAGTCTTACAGTCAGGTCCATAAATATTGGGACATCGACACAATTCTAACATTTTTGGCCCTATATACCACCACAATGGATTTGAAATGAAACGAACAAGATGTGCTTTAACTGCAGACTGTCAGCTTTAAGTTGAGGGTATATACATCCAAATCTGGTGAACGGTGTAGGAATTACAACAGTTTGCATATGTGCCTCCCACTTCTTAAGGGACCAAAAGTAATGGGACAGAATAATAATCATAAATCAAACTTTCACTTTTTAATACTTGGTTGCAAATCCTTTGCAGTCAATTACAGCCTGAAGTCTGGAACACATAGACATCACCAGACGCTGGGTTTCATCCCTGGTGATGCTCTGCCAGCTCTACTGCAACTGTCTTCAGTTCCTGCTTGTTCTTGGGGCATTTTAAACTTCAGTTTTGTCTTCAGCAAGTGAAATGCATGCTCAATCAGAGTCAGGTCAGGTGATTGACTTGGCCATAGCATAACATTCCACTTCTTTCCCTTAAAAAACTCTTTGGTTGCTTTTGCAGTATGCTTTGGGTCATTGTCCATCTGCACTGTGAAGCGGCGTCCAATGAGTTGTGAAGCATTTGGCTGAATATGAGCAGATAATATTGCCCGAAACACTTCAGAATTCATCCTGCTGCTTTTGTCAGCAGTCACATCATCAATAAATACAAGAGAACCAGTTCCATTGGCAGCCATACATGCCCACGCCATGACACTACAACCACCATGCTTCACTGATGAGGTGGTATGCTTAGGATCATGAGCAGTTCCTTTCCTTCTCCATACTCTTCTCTTCTCATCACTCTGGTACTAGTTGATCTTGGTCTCATCTGTCCATAGGATGTTGTTTCAGAACTGTGAAGGCTTTTTAGATGTCGTTTGGCAAACTCTAATCTGGCCTTCCTGTTTTTGAGGCTCACCAATGGTTTATATCTTGTGGTGAACCCTCTGTATTCACTCTGGTGAAGTCTTCTCTTGATTGTTGACTTTGACACACATACACCTACCTCCTGGAGAGTGTTCTTGATCTGGCCAACTGTTGTGAAGGGTGTTTTCTTCACCAGGGAAAGAATTCTTCAGTCATCCACCACAGTTGTTTTCCGTGGTGTTCCGGGTCTTTTGGTGTTGCTGAGCTCACCGGTGCGTTCCTTCTTTTTTAAGAATGTTCCAAACAGTTGTTTTGGCCACACCTAATGTTTTTGCTATCTTTCTGATGGGTTTGTTTTGTTTTTTCAGCCTAATGATGGCTTGCTTCATTGACAGTGACAGCTCTTTGGATCTCATCTTGAGAGTTGTCAGCAACAGATTCCAAATGCAAATAGCACACTTGAAATGAACTCTAGACCTTGTTATCTGCTCATTGTAATTGGGATAATGAGGGATTAACACACACCTGGCCATGGAACAGCTGAGAAGCCAATTGTCCCATTACTTTTGGTCCCTTAAGAAGTGGGAGGCACATATGCAAACTGTTGTAATTCCTACACCGTTCACCTGATTTGGATGTAAATACCCTCAAATTAAAGCTGACAGTCTGCAGTTAAAGCACATCTTGTTCGTTTCATTTTAAAATCCATTGTGGGGGTGTATAGAGCCAAAAATGTTAGAATTGTGTCAATGTCCCAATATTTATGGACCTGACTGTATATCACCTAGTGCAATGCAAAGCGTCAGATGCAGTGAAGAATCATGCTTCTCTGTCTGGCACCCGCCAAACCCAGACACATCCATTGGATTGCCAGAGCAGTACTTGCCTGACTGCATTGGGCACAGTGTAAAGTTTGGTTGGGGTTAGGCCTAGCCCCTTAGTTCCAGTGAAAAGAACTCTTAAAGCATCAGCATACCAAGACATTTGGACAATTTCATGCTCCCACCTTTGTGGGAACACTTTGGGGATGGCCCCTACCTGTTCCAACATGACTGCATACAGCACAGTCCATAAAGACATGGATAAGCGAGTTTGGGGTGGAGGAACTTGACTGTCCTGCAGAGTTCTGGCCTCAACCCGTTAGAGCACCTTTGGGATGAATTAGAGAAAATTGCGAGCAAAGCTTTCTCGTCCAACACAAGTGCCTGACCTCACAAATGCACTTCTGGAAAAATGGTCAAACATTCCCATAGACCAGTGTTTCTCAACTCCAGTCCTCATGGACCCCCAACAGGTCATGTTTTCAGGATTTCGATTATTTTGCACAGGTGATTTGATCAGTTTCACTGCCTTAGTAATTACCACAGCTGAGGGAAATCCTGAAAACATGACCTGTTGGGGGTCCATGAGGACTGGAGTTGAGAAACACTGCCATAGACACACTCCTAAACCTCGTGGACAGCCTTCCCAGAAGCTTTGACGCTATTATAGCTGCAATGGATGAGCCAACTCAATATTGAACCCTACAGACTAAACCTGGGATGCCATTAAAGTTCAGGCGTGTGTAAAAGTAGGCATTCCAATACTTTTGTCAATATCGTGTTTGTTAATGTTCAAGAAGAAGGTAATCAAAGTCTGCAGGTAAAATAGGTGACCCATTGTTCCCAGACCTTTTAGAATGTTGCCATTGTGCCTTGCAATCTGGCCTTCAATTTCTCATTAATCAGTGTCCAGTGCAGTCAGGATTGAACTTCTGCATTATGTAAAGGGTCAGAGAGCTAAATCTTTGCCATCACTTGTTCTACAGCTGTGAGAAGCATAATCTGGTGTTTGGAGATGGTTTCAGGTTAATAAGTGCCTCATATTGGGTACAAGGGTTGCGGCTGTTAAAAGAGCATTCATAAAGCTAGCTCAGTACTCTAAGGAAAAGTATACCTCATGGTGCTACTCCAAGCTATACCTGGAAGGAAAAGATCACCCTACCGGCAAGTGAAAAGATCTGGAGTCCAAGCAATTCCAGTATCAACCAATACAAGTAAAAGGATGGATACTGCTCAACCAATGCCAGATGTCCAATGGTAAGGAATGGCCTCAACCACTGTACTGGCCAAGCCCCCTGATAGCTTGGCAAGTAAGGCGGCTGAGGCCATTCCTTAACATTGGACTCCTGGGGTCAGTTGAGCAGCGGCCATCTCTCCACTTGTAGCAGTACTCTTCCAGTTACACTGTATCTGATGTTTGAGGAGTATGAAAGTGCAACAGGATTATGTCAACATTTATGATTACAATATACAGAATAATACATTAGACAATATAGACACCTTAATTGGATTCCAAATGACTAGCAAAAATGCATTCAATGTGTACTTATGATTTACAAATTATTTTAAAAATGATTTTAAGGAATCATTTAGCTTAGATCTGTTCAGTGTATTACAAAATGTACAGTATGACCTTTTTAAGTTTAGAACATAGGTAGGTTTAAAATGTTACTGATCCCTTGACTGCAGTGTAACAACACTTGCTACCTCTATATCAAGCAGCTATCCCTGCTAAATGCAGTGAAGGGGCCCAGTAACAAAGCTGTTGCATGAGCACAGCTTGGTCAAGTCTTTCTGCCTCTGGAAACAGGTGAGGCATGCACAGACCAATCCAGGAAAAGAAAAACAAAAAAACCTAAAGCTATGGCTGTTATTAAATCTGTACAATTATTATTTCGCTCAAGATCTGCCAGGTCGAGACAGGTGCAGAACTTAAACCTAAGGCTCTCACCTTAACCACTTGCCTACTGGGCACTTATACCCCCTTCCAGCCCAGGCCAATTTTCAGCTTTTAGGGCTGTCCCACTTTAAATGACAATTGCATGGTCATGCAGCATTGTACCCATATAAAATTTTAATAAAAATAAAAGTAGAGCTTTCGTTTGGTGGTATTTAATTGCCACTCGGTATTTTATTTTTTGCACTATAACCAAAAAAAAATTTTTGTTTCTATTAAAAAATTTTGCAAACAGGTCATTTTTCTCCTTCACTTCTGTGCGATAAGGCTGCACTGATAGGCGGAACTACTGAGCAGCACTGATTTGGGGGGGGGGGGGGGGGGGGGTCACTGCTGCATGTACAGGTGGGTGGCACTGCTGGGCAGCACTAATCATCAGTGCCAATCTGTTCGGACAATTGCCAGTTATCGGCAGTACATTCACAGCGTGAAGAAAGTACAGCTGATAACCGGCAACTGTACTTACCCAGTGATCTGCTGTGTCATTGAACACAGCTGATCACATTGTAAAAGGCGTGGGACGAAGCATTCACGGAGATTGCTGGGGGTGCGTTCTAGGAGGCTGTCATATGACACCCTCCCAGAACTGGACAACCACACTGTAGCCATCATTTGACTATAGCACAGTTGCCAATGGTTAATCCAGTCAGGCAAGGCAACAGCCATCTCATTTCCCTGAATACCTTATGCTTAAAGAGTGGTGGCCTAATGTAAAACCAACTTTTTTTTTTTTGTTTGGGATATAATGGAAGAGGTAGAACTAGTCAGGTTTTCATTGCTGTTATGGTTCAGCTTTCTCAGAGCTTAACTCTATGCTGATAACTAATGTCAAGGTGCCAAAAGTAATAGGAAAGCCAAAAATGTGAGCAGGCACAGGAGGTGTGGCTAAGTCTTCCAATGAGATAACCTGGTTAAGGCAGCAAATGCCTGGATCACCCTAGGCCAGGGGTGGGCAACTGTGGCCCTCCAGCTGTTGGTGAACTACAAGTCCCATCATGCCTCTGCCTTTGGGAGTCATACTTGTAACTGTCAGTTTTGCAATGCCTCATGGGACTTGTAGTTCTACAACAGCTGGAGGGCCACAGTTACCCACCCCCTGCCATAGGCCATTGTACAGACAACATACAGAGAGACATTTCCACAAGGTTTACTTGCAGAGCACTAGCAGTTTATCACCACACTGCTATTAAGCTACACATGTAAGGATGCTGCAGAAACATTAATATGGCAATGTAGCCACTAGGAGTCTTGATAAAGGGATCTTTAAGATTTAAAGAAAATTGCCTCCATATGTAAGAGGCAAGCTTCTTGCAGTAGAGAGAAAACATCCATTATCTGAATAAGAGGGGGGGGAAAAAAATAAAAAATCTGAGGCTTCCTGGGAGGTGTTATACACAGGATGTCCCTGCAGTTTTTTTTTTTTTTTTTTTCTGCCAGCATCCAATCACCTGAAGGTATCTGTATTTACTTATAGTCAAGCCTAAAGTCCTGTGTTGTACAATTAACCACTTGCCCTCCAGAGTGTTTACTACCCCGCTCTTGACCAGGCCATTATTTTGCAATATAGCTGTGTTATTTAACTGGCAATTACACAGTCATGCAACGTTGTACATAAATTTAAGTCCCTTTTTTCCCCCACAAGTAGAGCTTTCTTTCGGTGGTATTTGAGCACCTGTATGTTTATTTTTTGCGCTATAAACAAAATAGACCGAAAGTTTGGGGAGTGGGGGAATACATTTTTGACTTCTTGGTATAACACATCCAGTAAAATTTAAAAAATAAAAATTTCTTCATAAATTTAGGCCAAAATGTCTTTTGCTACACGTCTTTGCGGAAAAAAAAAAAAAAAAAATCAATCCTAATAAGTATAAATGAATTGGTTTACATAAAAGTTAGAGCATCTATAAATGGCAGTAGATATACTGGAATTTTTGATTTACTAGTAATGGAGGTGTTCAGCAACGTGAGGGACTGCAGGACAGCAGCAGGCATTCTGACACTGGGTGGGATCTGACTACCACTAATACAGCGATCAGTGCAAATAAAAAGCAATGGCATTGTACTGATACAGGACAGGAAGGGGTTAACATCTGGGACAATCAAAGAACAGTGTGCTGTGTGTTTTACTATGTAGACAAGCTGCTTTGTATCGCGCTGCTGTGCAGAGCAATACAAAAAGCAGCCCGATTGTGCTGACAGGGGAGAGATTTGTGTTTACACACAGACCTCTCCCTTGTCAGCTCCACAGACAGACAATGGCCAGGACCCAGTGATTGACATGCACAGGAGTCAATACACATGATTTTGCACATCCCTGCCGCTCTGTAGCAGTACTTCTGCTATAGGAGGGTCAGGAAGTAGTTAAGAAATATACAAGGCAAAGCAAGGTTCTACTTCAGCTAGATTTAAAAAACTTCACTTTCCCCCAGAACAGGGAACCAGTGGTCTCTAAAGTCAGACTGCAGCTTTTTGTTCAGGGGGTGTACCCACATGGGTGAACTTAGTTTCTTTCCTCATAAAAGAAAGATTTATGCTCCAGCGGTCTGCTGTGGCGCTCAGAAAACAACAAACAAAATAAGACAACGTAAAGTAAGCCACAGCAATATTTTTGATCTTTGTACAGTCCTACAGAACACAATAAAAACACTAATGACCACACATAGGTATTTTATTAGAAATATGTAAAAGTAAGTGAACCTGAAAACCAAACAAACATTCTGATCTTTAGGAATATGTGCAATGGTCAGCTAGCACACCCAAATCATTCACCATCAAATATGGCTCAAATAGGCTTTTATATAGCCAAAACCAACAAATATTAAACTTTAAAATAAAATTAAAAAAAAGATATAGAAGAACAGATAATGCAGTACTAGTCAAAGTAAAGGCAGCATTCCATAAACCTTTCATGCCTGTGATCTTGGCAGAAAGGATCTCTCTCCAAAAAAAAAAAAAAAAAGTGATGGGGGTCAGTGTTTTCCCACTAACTTCCACAGAAAGATTAGCAGCTACATGTGGAAATTTTGTAATTTATCTCACTTTCCAAAAATTACCAGCATCAAATGGCTTTGCAGGGCATTGTTAAACTGCTTTCATGATTCTCTTATGAGAGGTGTCATAAGTATTTATGTAAATCTCTGCAGTTGAAAATGCTAGTTGTTGGGCAGTTTCTTATATGCTAAACCTGCAACAGGTATGCCAATAAGGAGTTCTCACTTTTTCCTCACCTGCTCAGTCTGCATACTTATTCCAAATCAGTGTCTCAGGAATCATTAAAGCCACTGGATCAGTGTAGCAGCCAGTTAAGTATTCTCTCAAGTAGGCAAGCAATAGCAACCCCCATATGGCTCCCAGGTTTACTCTAAGCCAAGGGTCTCCAAACTTTCTAGACAAAAAGAGCCAGTTTATGGTCCTTCAGACTTTTGGGTTGCCGGATTGTGACCTTTGAGAGTAGAAAAGGTCCTGATGTCAGTGGAGCAAAAACAATGCCCCATCTTTGGTGTCAGACGGAAGAATTGTGCCGCATCAGTGGTGTCATTGGGAGAAAGTGACCCATCGTTCGCATCATTGGAAGGAATTGTGCCCCACAATTGGTGTCATATGGAGGAATAGTGTCCCATCATTTGTTTCAGTAGGGGGGAATTATGCCCCAAAATTGATGCCAGTGGGGGGCATTATGCCCCATTGTTGGTATCAGTCGATGAAATCATTGCCCAAGGGCCAGATAAAAGCAAGCAAAGGGCCGCAGTTTGGCTCTAAGCCATCATGTCTGAAGGGTCGTTCACACTTTTATTAAAAAAATGTGATTGTAATTTTTAACTTTTAGATATCTGAACCATAAAATAAAAAAATAAAATACACTGCAGAGTACAGGGACACATAAAATCGAACTTAAAATGCCTGCATATTTAAAGTAAAATTCCAGTTTTCCCCAATTTAAAATAGTTTGTGCCCAGATGGCCCAAATGAATTATTTCCATTGCAGAACGATGTGGCAGTTGTGTGTGCTGTAATGGCCTGTAATAGCACTAGCTTACATACAGAAGCAGTGCTGTGTTCTCACAGCAGCAAGCTACTTATGGTTTGCTGTTGGAATTAAAGAGTGGATGACTGCTTCTTCACTATTCAAAAAAAGCCTTTTATTTTTATCAAAGATTACAAGACTGATTGCCTAAGGTGGAGAGGCGGGCAGATGACATAATTTCACCTCTGGCAGTGGGAGCTCTATATTTGATTAAAACACAAGGCTTCTCTTGAATAGGGAGAAACAGCCTAAATCTCTGTTCCAGCAACAGTAGGGGCAACCTGTGTTGCTGTAATTGAGAGCCTCCTTCTGTATGTAGCTAATGCTACTACAGTATATTACAGCAGACACAACTGTCACATCATTCTGTAGTAGAAAGTTTGTTTTGGTCAGACTGGCCCAAAATATTTAAAATGAAATTAAACCTGGAATGTTACCTTAAATTCAGAAGTGTGAATGAGCGAGAAAGAATGACAGTGCAATTAACATTGTAATACATTCCCCTGTTTTCAGTGGAATATACAGTATTTGCAATGAAGCTTACAGAGAAAGTATAGCAACTGCAAGTCCCTGAGTGATTGGCATTCTTAAAGTAGATTCAATTCAGACTCAATCAGTACTTCATAATTCCCCAGATCTAGCAGGCTAGAAACACCCCAGTTTGAAGGTACCAACATTTCCTTTGAAATGTGAGAAAATACATCCAAATGATAAAAACACAGTTCTATATCACCTCAGATCATCTTCAGCAGCAAAGACAGTTGGCTGAGTTTCAGTCTTCATGATTGTATGAAATATTTAAGATCAGATGATTTCCTTTAATTGCCCTCATTACATGCAACTAGCTATCTTTTAAAACTTAGTTTACTCCGTTCAATTTTAGTGTCCAGCCAAATTCCACAGGGAAGATGCCAGGAGGAATGGATGGCAGCTGAATGATGAGCCCCGACTCTGGGCCTGGTTTCCACCGCAGTTGTCCTGTGAGACCCAACAAAGTCACCTGTAGGCAGCAATTCAGTCAAGTGAAAAGAAGGCCACTGAGCTCAAATTACGTATAAAAATTACACTTTTGGATGAAAATACATTAGACAGCAGAATAATAAAAGCCACATACATAATCAAAATAAAATTTGTTGCAAACTCACATTAGTACTTGGAGAGGCTTTAGGCGAAACCAACTTTATTTGATTTCCTTCAGGCCATGTTAAGAAGATGCCATACACAACTGATCCTTTGGAAGTGTACCTGGGAAAAAAAAAAACATTGACTTTTGTTTATACTTTCCAGTTTTTAACATACTTCTATTTGAGAAATGGAGATGGCAACTTCTATTTGTCTATGATAATATATGGCATTCATACAGACATTCAGAAATGCAAAAACTGAACGTCAAATTTTCCAATTCTTCCATGAAGCATGGCCAATCTGCATTTAAAAGTGGAACCTGTAAGGACAGCTAGTAATGCTCCCTTTCTGCACTGAAAGCTTCCATAGTTCTATTCTTGGAAGCAATGTCATTCCTTGCAAAAGCTGCATGATGAATGCTGTACCCATACACCAACACTGCTTCTGACTGTAATGCAAGCATCATTATATTCTAAAGAAATTTAAACCTAAGCCCAACACAAAGACAACCCCACACACACAACACTTACCAAATGCTGCAAGTGCCATTTTCTTTTTGTACTCTCCAAGGTTTGGAGGAATAAATTGCCTCACCATTTACAAACAGCCATTTTCCTACATTGAGAAGTCTCTCTTGAAAAATTGGCATAATCAAGCCCTCTTTGCTGGGTCCCACATTTAAGAGATAATTTCCTCCAAAACTCACAGTCTGCACAAGGTCCTGAGAGGCAACATAGGAGAATATTAGAAAAATCACATAAAATACAGTTTTGTAAAGAAGAAGAAAAAAAAAAAAAAAAAAAAAAAAAAAAAGGAAGGGGGGGTTCGAGAAGGAATACAGTAAACATCGATCTAAAAAAAAAAAAAAAAAAAAAAAAAAAAAAAAAGGTAGTAGATCTGAGCACACATCCCAATAGCCAAGTATCTAGGGCTTTAACAGACAGACCCTTCCAATTTATGGCCAATATACTGTAGGTCAACTAACACTTAAGATAAATTGGTGTCAGCTATAAAAATGCTATCATAAGTCAGAGTCAACATGGCAAAAACTTGCCACTGTGTAAAATAAAGTTGGGCAAACTCCTAGGAAAGGCAGCATAGATTAACCCCTTCACACATAAGGGTAAAACAAATCTTAAAGTCTAAGTAAATCTGTACAACGTTGACGTGTGTTAGTAAAACTGTACATATCATAACTACTTTGTACATCCAGGTGAATTATACCTGTTTTTTTTTTTTTTCAGGACAAATTGGGCTTTCATTTGGTGGTAAATGTTACTCACAGAGATGATGTTTCCTTCATTCATAACCTGATAGAGTTGCATATTACGTCGATAGCCCCATGAATAGTGGTCTATGGAAGTGCATTTCTCCCATTTGTGGTCAGGCAGTTCAGTAGGCGTGAACTTATCAGCACAGTTATAATATCCTCCATGATGGCATGAACAGTTACTTCCCCAGCGGTCATTCACCACAATTTTGTCCTATATATAAATAAAAGTTAAAAAAAAACAAAACAAAAAACACTAATTTGTACAACATTTCATTATTTACATGCTTTTTTTTTCAAATATTATTGTATCAATAATTTTATAATTATTATTATTATTATTATTATTATTAAGGATCTATATAGCACCAACGGTTTTCACATCAATCAAATTCACCATTTGCAATCTGGATAATGTGCAAGTCAACATACATATTTATGCAGCTTATTATTCCATGTGGATCTGCAGCGATGACCTACACCCTAAAGTGTAGCAAAATACACAGGTGAAAAACATACCTTAACAGGGCTGTCATTGTAAAGCCATGCCAGAAAATCAGTAGAGTTCCAGTAAGTATCTGGCGATTCCCAGTCACCATCAGACCAAAGCAAATCTGGCTGGTATCTAAAAAGCAATGTATGAAATTATAAATTTCATATATGTAGTCAGTAATAAAAAGCCATCTGAACAAAAGAGAAATTACATTAAAATGGTTTCCTGGGTATGGAAGTATATTTAAAATAGTTGTGTTAACTAAATTGTAAAAAAACAAACAAAAACACACACTTTAGATGCAGCTGTCTACTATGGCATTCTGGAGACTCTAAGGTCTAGTTCGCATTAGCTGCAGTAGAACATATGCTGCATTTTTTTGCACAGAACTGTACTGGAACATTGCATCAAAACTGCACCAAAATGGAGTGTGTTGTGTTTTTTTTGCTAACTGCAAGCAAAAACGTATCTGGAATACATCCAGAGTCCATTTTTTGTGGTATGAACTGGCCCTAAAAGAGCAAAAATCCAGATATTACCATCACAGTATTGCATTTTGCCTTGATCATCAGGTGAGACCCATTAGGGGATCCTTTTGAAAAGAGCAGACCTAGCAGAAAAGCAGTGTGAGGAGAGCTTCCCAGGGAAAACAGAAGCCCTATGAAAAGGATCACGGCTGTAAGCAGCATTGCACTAATGAAAAGTAGTGCTTGTGCTATACATGGAAAGAGCAAGCAAATACCACACCATCCCCCCACAGGTTTCCTGACAGCAGGTGTAGGGAATTACATGATTATAAAGACAGAAGTTCAAAAACACAGCATAGATAATTCACTTTTTTGTTGGTTACAGTGAAGGAAATAAGTATTTGATCCCCTGCTGATTTTGAATGTTTGCCCACTCACAAAAAATGATCAGTCTAAAAATTGAATGGTAGGTGTATTGTAACAGACAGAATAGCAACAAAAAATTCAAAAGAAATGCATGTCTAACAAATTATGCACAGATTTGCATGTCCATGAGGGAAATAAAGTATTTGATTCCCTTCACAAAACATGACTTAGTACTTGGTGGCAAATCCCTTGTTGGCAATCACAGAGGTCAGACGTTTCCTGTAGTTGGCCACCAGGTTTGCACACATCTCAGGAGGGATTTTGGCCCACTCCTCTTGGCAGATCCTCTCCAAGTCATTAAGGTTTGGTGGCTGACATTTGGCAACTCGAACTTTCAGCTCCCTCCACAGATTTTAAATCGGATTAAGGTCTGGAGACTGGCTAGACCACTCCAGGACCTTAATGTGCTTCTTGAGCCACTCCTTTTTTGCCTTGGTCGTGTGTTTCAGGTCATTGTCATGCTGGAACACCCATCCACGACCCATTTTCAATGCCCTGGCTGAGGGAAGAAGGTTCTCACCCAAGATTTGACGGTACATTGCCCCGTCCATCATTCCTTTGATGCGGTGAAGTTGTCATGTCCCCTTAGCAGTAAAACACCCCCAAAGCAGAATGTTTCCACCACCATGTTTGACAGTTGGGAAGGTGTTCTTGGGGTCATAGGCAACATTCCTCCTCCTCCAAACACGGCGAGTTGAGTTGATGCCACAGAGCTCGATTTTGGTCTCATCTGACCACAACACTTTCAACCAGTCCTCCTCTGCATCATTCAGATGTACAGTGGCAAATTTCAGACGGTCCTGGACATGTGCTTTCTTGAGCAGAGGGACCTTGAGGGCACTGCAGGATTTCAATCCTTGTCGGCGTAGTGTGTTACCAATTGTTTTGATGACTGTGGTCCCAGCTGCCTGGAGATCATTGACAAGATCCTCAAGTGTAGTTCTTGGATGATTCCTCACTGTTCTCACCTCGTGAAGTGTCAATGATCATGAGATCTTGCATGGTGCACCAGACCTAGGGAGACTGACAGTTGTTTTGGGTTTCTTCCATTTGTGAATGATTGCACCAACTGTTGTCACCTCATCAATTTCCTTGGTGATAGTTTGGTAGCCCAGTCCAGCCTTGTGTAGGTCTACAGTCTTGTCCCTGACATCCTTGGACAGCTCTTTGGTCTTTGCCATGGTGGAGAAATTGGAATCTGATTGTTTGATTGCTCCTGTGGACAGGTGTCTTTAATACAGGTAAAGAAATTAGAAGCAGTCTCTTAAAGGGAGTGCTGCTAATCTTATCTCAGCTTGTTACCTGTATGAAAGACACCTGGTAGCCTGAAATCCTGCTGAATGATAGGGGATTGAATACTTATTTCCCTCATGAACATGCAAATCAGTGCATAATTTGGTAGACATGCATTTCTTTAGAATTTTTTTTTTGCTATTCTGTCAGTGTTACAGTACACCTACCATTTGATTTTTAGATTGATCATTGTGAGTGGGCAAATATTCAAAATCAGCAGGGGATCAAATACTTTTTTCCTTCACTGTATATAAATTAGATTAGAGTTTGTGTATCACATATGAGATCTCTAACATACATAATTATTAAAATATGCATTTGAGTTTTATGCGTTCTACCTTTTGGGTGGGAAAACAGTCAGAATTCCAACGAACTATGAATAAACTTGTTTACCTATTCCTGTGGTGCTTTTTTAACAGCTATTCAGGTAATTTGAAATACAGCAGTGAAAAAGTGCCCTGTTAGAAGCCACTCAAGTATCTACATTACCAAGGGAAGGTTGCCATATTCAGCTGCCTAGCACAGACAGAGGAATCCATCAAAGAAACATATGGGTAATGGGTCAGCAAAGATTCATTAAAAAAAAAAAATAAAATAATAATAAAAAAAAAAAAAAAAAAAAAAAAAACAGCCAATTTGTTCGTCCTAAAGTGATATTTCAGTTAGAGTTTTGGGAAATCATACATTGACTTCTCATCAAAAGCCCACGAAACAGATCTCCCAATAACAGCTCTTGATTCTGTTACTGCCAATGTTGCAGATTTGAATGCTATGCCCATACCCCCTACAGCAGGTGAACAGGCTCAGATAAGAAGCAAAGAGATGTGAGCTGTCAAGACAAAGGAATATTGGTTTAACTCTCTAGCATCTGTTAAAAACTGCAATATCAGTTTTGTCGTAACTGACCCTACAAGTAAACACAATTAAGGAGATTATACAGGTTTAGAGAGTACCACGTAAGGAAATGTGAGCTATACCTCATACAGCATCTACAATATGTCTAACATTCATTATGCCAGATGCATTACAGCAGAACTTAAAGTGGTTGTGAGCCAACTGACAGCTGTATGTAATTTCAGCTCTCCACCCCTCTTTTCTCAACTCATCGGACAAGTGCCAGTTCAGTGCAATGGCTAGGCCTTGCAACCTGGTAACAAAAATTGCCTTTGTCTTGGCCAAAAGGCCTAGCCCATGAAATGTAGTGCAAAAAAAAAACCAAAAACAAACCATGAGGTGTCATGGCCTAGTGCTCATTTTCCCATGGGTCCCAAACCCATACTGATGACACTGTGGGTTCTCTGCCTTCACAGCCCCTGGCCAGGCAATACTGCTCAAAGTAGGAAGCATTAGGCCCCTCGTAACCCTCCACGCCAGGGAATTGCTTCCGACCCACACCTTACATGGTGTACACAATACTCAGTTTCCTTGCCCATTAGAAAGATCCCTCAGGAACCCCATCATATCAGCAGGGATGGTATGCAAACAGCCATCACATCCCTAAGGACATAATGACTGTGGACACTGATAAGAACTGCATCTTAGCATTGTGGTGTGACACAAGGCACATAAACAAATGTTTTCCATTTGTCTTTGTTGTGACTGGTGTTTATTCAGTGCAGAAAACCACCAGTCACCACACAGTATGAATGAGCCCTCATGTAATTAATTGTCCACTGAACATGACAAGAGGCTAGGGCACCTGCAGCTCATATAAAGCATGCAGTTGAATGGGTTATTTGGTTATCTGTGAAATAAATTGACTAACTAACTTGTCACTGACCACTGATCCCAACATGTCTGAAAAAGTTTCTGTCTTGCGAGAACACCTTTGGATTTTAGTCAGCAAATCAACATATGTTAAGATTGCCTCCCAATAATACTTTTTTACAGTGACTTTGATACGGTTTGTATTTATGTACCTAATGGGGTAGACCAGGGGCAAATGGTATGCAAAATAATTCCTACTGATGGAAAAAAGTAAAAGAAAGATAAATAAATTTCAGCATACCGCAAAAGGGACAAAAATTGTAGGCTCTACCCAGGATCTACATAGCCATGCAAACCATGTAATAAAATGCTCAGGATAGGTTTTCCTAACAAGATAATTTACCAGCAATCTGCAGACATTAATTGTGCTATGAAGTAGTTCCAGCAATATTTTGCAAAATCATTCGGATGTCCTGTAAACCATATCCAAAGTTACCCCCTGGTGCTACTGGTGTTAACTAAAGTGGGTTATAAGGCATTTCATCTGTTCTATGCAGGTAATAGTTGCATAGTTAGTCTGGCTGAAAAAAAAGACAAGTCTATCCAGTTCAAAAAAAAAAAAAAAAAAAAAAAAAGTCCTACACCCACAGTTGATGCAGAGGAAGGCAACAAGCCCAGCAAAAAATAATCCAATTTGCTGCAGCAGGGGAAAACATTCCTTCCTGATCCCCCGAGAGGCAATCAGATATTCCCTGGATCAACTTTACCTATAAAATATTATTAACCAGTTATATTCTTTGTATCCAAGAAAGAATCCAGGCCTTTTTTTTTTTTTTTTTTTTTTTTTTTTTTTTTTAAAAGCAATCCACTGAGCTGGCCAGAACCAACTCTTGAGGTAGTCTATTCCACAGCTCTTACTGTGAAGAAACCTTTCCGTATTTGGAGATTAAATGTCTTTTCCTCCAGATCTAAAGAGTGCCCCCTTGTCTTCTAATGACCTCAAGATGAATAACTCTACAACGAGTTCACGATATGAACCACGTATTTATGTTGATCATATCTCCCCCTTAATCGCCTCTTATTATTATTATACAGGATTTATATAGAGCTGACAGTTTGCTCAGCGCTTTACATTATGGTGGGAGACAGTACACGAGACAGTACAGTAACAAAACGATTCAATACACGAGGGGTTCGAGGGCTCTGCTCCTTGGAGCTTACAATCTAGGAGGGAATAAATTGAGAATAAATTCAGTTCCTCTAATCTTTCCTCATAGCTGAGTTCCTCCATACCTCGTATCAGTTTGGTTGCCCTTCTCTGTACTTTCTCCAGTTCCCCAGTGTTCTTTTTGTGAATTGGTGCCCAAAACTGAACTGCATATTCCAGATGAGGTATTACTAATGACTTGAAAAACATGGAACGCTTCACAAATTTGCATGTCATCCTTGCGCAGGGGCCATGCTAATCTTCTCTCTATCGTTCTAATTTTAGTATATGTGTGTTAACAACAAGAAGTGAAACAGTAACTTTCCAATGTGAGGGGAAACCTCTTCAACAGTTGTCACAGGAAACCATGTTCCCATAGGAATATTTCCCCTCTATTCTTGTCTTGGTGGCAGCTCAAAATTTTAAATTTACTTTCACTTTTATTCCCAGTGACATTGGTGATCAGGATAACTAGGCCTCCTTCAGATGGGCACTAGCACCCGTACTGTGTGCAGGCTGCCTTTGGCTTGACATCTGCTTCCACCTCGAGCTGCGTGCAGCCAGCCTATAGAAGTGGATGCAGATGCAGCAGCTGCAATGACACAGCTGCCTGTCAAAATTTGATAGCTGTGCAGACGCAGATGAACAGCCCCAAACACAAACATGTTTTGTCTTTAGTTATACTTTAACCAATCCAAAAGAACAAATACATTTGTAGTTACCTTTTTACCAAATCGTACAGCTCTGGCATAGTCTTTGAAAACACAAAATACTGTGTTTTGAAGCCATTCTTTTTGTCCAATAAATACAAGGGATGAAACCATTCCAACAGGGAATGATATAAGCCATAACGCAGGTTCCTAGAGGAAAAAAAATTCATTAGTTATCATTTCTTTGTCATCTGTAGCAATGCTGACCACTTCATAACGGACATTGCATGGTGGTTTACTGTGAAGCAATTCTATTCAGCAAAACAAACCTCTTCTTCAATGCTGCTCCCAGGTCTCCCACTAGGTCACGATGTGGACCAGTGTCTACAGCATTCCAGTTCCAGGACACAGGAGAGCCCCAGTTAGTGAAACCTTCATGGTGCTTTGTTGTCAAAACTACGTACCTAAGCAAAATAAGACGTTTGGTTAAGCAATTTTCATTGCAAGAATGAGGAACAATGACTAAAAAATGTTTTGTAAATTAATTTACTGCACAAAAGGTTCAAAGAAATTGTTAGAGAAGCTGAGGTAAGGAAATGGCAAAACATTGAGCTGTGGTCGAAAAGGTTTAGATCTACAAACCTTTAGCAAAAGTCATGGTGCTTTGCATCACCTTCCATGTGCATGCAGCAGATCAGTACACCCAGTCTCTCACCCTGAAGAGGCTGGCCATACACTTTACAAATCCTTTAGATTTATCAAAACTAGGTAACAGGAGGACAGTAATCCTAAGTAATCCAATCAATTAGTATTAAATCAAGCAGGCCTTTGTACTACACAGTTGATGGTAAATCGAAAAGAGATTGCACAATAAGATTGTATAGTGTATGGTGAGCTTTAAAATCAAACCTTCAAAAAGGATCATTTACCATCACATACAGTGCAGATAAGGGGATTGGGTCTATCAACCAAGCACTTGTTCTTTCATTGTTTAAATAAGTTCTCCTTAAAAAAATAAAAAATAAATGTACAATTTTTTCAAATTTCAAAATTTACAAGCCAGTTTTTCTTTTGGACTTGGGGTTTCTCGAGTCTCTAGTTGCACATTGCCTGTAGGGCCGAAAAAAATGTAATTCCTGCTTGCCTACTGGGGACAGGAAATCCCTTTTTCTTATCAGCCGATCTTTCAAGCACCGAGGTTAGTTCAGAGCCAAAGAGGAGTTTCCCCTCAAAGGGCAGGCCACGCAATCTGGACTTGGATGCTGTGTCCCCCTGCCAAGACTTTAGCCAAATTGCCTTGCTTGTTGAATTAATAAGGCCGGTAGACCTGGCTGTATATTTAATGGTCTCAGCCGATGCGTCTGCGATGCAAGTTACCGGGCGTGCCACCTTAAAAAAACAAACAAGGACCCCCGGAAGGTGCGCTACTGAAGAGTGAGACAACATGGAGGAGAAAAACAAGCATGCTGTAACAGCGTGAGAGCATTTTGCCAGCCGTATGGCTCCTACATTGTTGCTGGCCTCCCCCTGCTCCGACAGATCTGCCTACATTGCGGTCCACCGCCGCCCTCAGCGGCCCCCTCTCCTGGTCCAGTGTCACTGACCTCTCCTCACAGCCACCATGGATCCTGAGCAGCTGTTTCTTGGGCAGGGGTCCTGTCCGCCTCTTCCAGGATGGCGACGACCGTTTCCTTGTTGCCAGAGCGCATGCATGCCCGGAAGGAACGTCACGTGTAGGCCAGTGACCTGGAAGTGATGTCTGGTGCTCCATAGGGACATCACTGCCACGATCACGCCGAACAAACAAGTCAGCTCCCAGCTAAGATAAGGAGCACCCACAGGGTTGAGGCCCCCAAGGTTCAGCGTGCTGGCCAACAACACCCCTGGTGTGCCTGCCTGGAACTATAAAAAGAAGGGTGGGTGCCCCCCTCCAGTCTTGCCAAAGAAGGGAATCCCTAGAGATTAACCTTGATGCGGTCTGCCCGAAAGGCCCCTGCCTTGCCCGGTAGGAGAGCAGGCACATTCAGGAGGCCTCTGTACCCCTCCAGATAGCCTGGAAAAACAAGGGATGGACCCAGGGATGCAGAGACTACTTATGGAGGAAAAAGTGGATCAGGCGTTTCCTGGTGGGAAGAGGAACCTATCTCACATGTAATCTGTCTTGGACGATGACTAATAATTGACAACACGGACCTGCCCCAGGTCAACCAAAAGCAGGCCATGTATTCCTGTTAAAGTGTATGTTAAGAGTGGGAAAGGATTAGAACATGTTTCAATTACTCTCTGGGATTTCATTAGAGAAATTTCCTTCACTTTTTGTTCTGCTGACAATGGTTTCACCAGACAGAAAGCAAGGAAAAATATGCAACAGGGACACAGACAAATAAAAATATTCTAGTCTTCCCCTACCCTACTAAAGAAATGCATTTTTAACTCTGACTTGCTGTTGGTAGATGTGAGGCGTCAAGTGACTAGCAAAAAAAAAAAAAAAACACAAGATACTAACTAGGTGTTTAGGAACAGAAAGGAAGACTCCAAATCCAACTGTGCCAAGGTTTGATGGTGGAAGATAAAATGTGCAACATTGTTACTTTCTAGCCTTGTATGAATTTTTCTAACAAAGGAACAGGTTATGCTAGATGCTGAGGACAGGTGTTTTTCAAACCTTGGAAATTCCCCTCTTTACCTTTAAGAACAACTGTCCTGTTCAGTCAAGCAGTCTCATCAACAAAGCTGATCTCTGTCACATGATAAAACATCCTGATTCAACACAATAGAAGCCAAGCTACACCGGGTCAAGACAGTCTGAATTTTTTCACAATGTTGGCTGACATGAGCATGGGTGTTTTACCATTCCGGACGGATAGTATGGAAATAGAATCATAGTATGCAGGTTACAAGGATTAGATTAAGACACAAGACCCATGCTAGTCTAAACAGCAAGTAATAAAGACCAATTTACCCTTTGCGTCTCTGGGTTATTTACCAAAACCGGAGAGTGCAAAATCAGGTGCAACTCTGCATAGAAACCAATCAGCATCCAGGTTTTATTGCCAAAGCTTAATTGAACAAGCTGAAATTAGAGGCCGATTGGCTACCATGCACATCTGCACCAGATTTACTAAAGATTGCTCCAGTTTTACTAAACCTACCCCACAGTGCTTTCACACTGGTTCGCTTCAAAAATGACTAGCGTTTTGGAGCGTTTTTCAAGCAGAACATCCTGGACATGACTTACTTTTGTAGCTCAAATTGGGCAGATTTGCATGTTTGAATTCACTAAAAAAAAAACACACTACTAAAATACAGCAGGAGTTATTTTATCAAGTCATGCAGTATTTTAGCAGTGAAAACCATGCGTTAATGTTCCAGCTGTCAGCGGGATTCCCCACGGACAGCTGAATGTAAGAGAAAGAATTGCCGGCAATTACACAATAATAAAAAACGGCGAGGGGTTCCCCCCTCTCCTGAACCATACCAGGCCACATGCCCTCAACAGGGGGGTGTGCTTTTGGGCGGTGGGGGACTCACATACCCCCCCAAATCACCTTGTCCCCCAACCCCCCCCCCCCCCTCCTGACCTGCCGGGCTGCAGGCTCGGATAAGTGTCTGGTATGGATTTTGGGTTCCCGAAGGGCTTGGTATGAATGGAGGGGGGACCCCACGCCGTTTTATTATTATATTAATTTTTTTTTTTTTTTTTAATTGCTGGCAATTCGTTTTACATTCAGCGGACATCACACTGACAGCTGAAATAGCCAGACCCTCCCACATGTGCATTGCGTTTTTGGAGTGGTTTTAAGCGTTTTTGAAGCGGTTACCATTAATTTCAATGGGAATAGGCATTTTTGAGGTTTTTTTTTTAAACATGCCGCAAAGATGCTGCAAGCAGGAGTTTTTACACCGCACCACAAGCACAACGCCTCAGTGTGAAAACATGCATAGCTATACATTCACATTCACAGGGAAGCAGTTTTCTTAACGCAATAACGCTTCAAAAACTCCTCAGTGTGAAAACAGCCTTAATGACTTCTACCAACTCCTAATATGACACTTTAGCACTTTGTGTGGTTCTCTGAACCCTGCACATACTGTTTCCCTATTGCCCTGTTATAGCAGTGATTTATAGCAGCTGGATGCATTATATTTGCTATCTCTGGGTATCTCCTGTATAAAGTAAGCAATCTCAGAAAATCTCATGTATCATGCCCATAACCTGACCATGTCCTGTTGTGTGTCTGCAGTCTTTGATAATGAATATTCACTGATGTTGGGGGCCACACAAGAGGCAATGCATATCAAGCAAGTTGACCACCATTGATCTAGACTAATGCAAGGACCATAGCCGTGCATTGTATGCAAGGATACCAAGGGACAGTCAACCACCAGAGTATGGAGGAACCCCATCTACCCAGGAATGGAAGATTGGGTAAAGCCAGCCATGAATGGATTTCAATCCATCTATGGGCAGGCTGAATGAAGTAGATCTACTGCCTGATTTTTTTCATTTTTTAATGCAATCACTCAGCAGCTATAGCCCCGCCAGCAGTGATCATTGTGTTATGCCAGCAAGGAAGGCTCCCCATCAGCAGACCACAATAGCACCGTGGAAGGGACTTCCCCATCATAAAACCTGACTGTGTCAATGGGGGAATCTAGCAATTTTCTTTTCTTCCACCTGTGATGTAAAAGAAAATTGCATAATCTACAGGCTTCACGCACGACTTGAGTCATACTAAATCGCATGACAAGGACAATTACATGGTTTTCAATAGTGCCCATTAACAGTAACCACTTGCCCTCCAGAGGATTAACCCCCCCATTCCTGACCAGGCCATTTGTTGCGTTACGGTGCTGCGTTACTTTCTTTTCTGTCCTTTTTTCCCCCCATGAATAGAGCGGTCTTTCGGTGGTATTTGATCACCTGTGTGTTTTTTATTTTTTGCGCTATAGAAAAAAAAAAAAAAAAAACAATTTTGAGAAAAAACAATATTTTTTACTTGTTGCAATTAAACATGTGCAGTAAAAAATTTAAAAAGATCAAATTCAGTTATAAATTTAGGCCAAAATGTATTCTGCTGCTACGTCTTTGCTAAAAAAAAATAAAAAATAAAAAAAAAAATAGCCCAATACGTGTAAATTAATTGGTTTACGTGAAAGTTATAGCGTTTACAAATGGCAGTTTATATACACTGAAATTTTTTATATTTTTTTTTTACTAGTAATGGAGGCTATCAGCGACTTATAGCGGGACTGTGATGGGCATTCTGACACTGGGGGGAACTGACTGTCACTGACATCCCCGCTGATACCAATACAGTGATCAGTGCTAATAAAAAGCACTGACACTGTACTAATGGCACTGGGAAGGAAGGGGTTAACATCTGGGGCAATCAAAGGGTTAACGGTGTGCTGTGTTTACTGTAAGCTGTGTGCGTGCTTCACTGTAAGCACACTGCTCTGTATGGCACTGGAGTGGTGGTGAGAACTTCGAGCACACTCAGAGCAGGCGGGGGACAGATGCAGCATCCACCTAGGTATAAGTAAACTTGGGGGGGTAAAAAGGGATGGGGGCTTGGGGGGGAAGGGACACATGTGACATGGGGATCAGGTGGGAGCTGTGAGATGCTGCAGGCTGCTTGACTGAATGCAGAGCCCGACTCTCGTCCCCAAGGATGTCCCGAGTTGTGAAGGGGAGTGTCTCTCTCTCTCGTTCGCTGAGGGGGTGGTGTGATGGCAGGTCTCTCGGCTGGGAGGAGGGGGGAGGGAGTTGGTTGTTGTCAGCCTCTGGCCATGAGTAGGGCAGATGATTTTTGAATTGCCTAGGGCAGTACAAAACCTAAATACACCACAGCCCGTGGGCCAGAGATTTTGGGGGTGAAGAGAACAGTGGCAAGCCTGCTGGAAAGAGAGTGAGAGTAATGCAGGCCATAGACGAGTCGAAAATCGGCCGATTTTTCAGCCGAAAATAAAATCGGCCGATTTTCGGATCGTTAGTGGGCGATTTGGTCGGCCGTTTTTCGGTATTTTGGCCGTTTTTGTTTTTCGGTAAAGTTGGAAAAAAATCGGCCGATTTTCGCGGCAATTAGTGGGCAAATCGGCCGATTTTTTACCGATAAAAAAATCTGCGCATGAGCAGTGACCTGCAAGAGGAAGACAAAGAAGAAAAAGAAGAAGAGGAAGAGGATGAAGAAGAAGAGGATGAAGAAGAAGAAGAGGATGAAGAAGATGAGGATGAAGAAGATGAGGAGAAGAAGAAGAGGATGAGGAGAAGAAGAAGAGGATGAAGAAGAAGAGGATGAAGAAGAAGAGGATGAAGAAGAAGGAGGATGAAGAAGAAGAAGAGGATGAAGAAGAAGAGGATGAAGAAGAGAGAGGATGAAGAAGAGGAGAGGGAAGAAGGATGATGAGGATGAGGATGAAGAAGAAGAGGATGAGGAAGAAAGAAGAGGATGAGGAAGAAGAAGAGGATGAGAAGAGGATGAGGAAGAAGAAGAGGATGAAGAAGAGGATGAAGAAGAAGAAGGATGGGGATGAAGAAGAAGAAGGATGGGGGGATGAAGAAGAAGAGAGGAGGGGATGAAGAAGAAGAAGGATGGGGATGAAGAAGAAGAAGAAGAGGATGAAGAAGAAGAAGAGAAGATGAGGATGAGGATGAAGAAGAAGAAGAAGATGATGAGGATGAGGATGAAGAAGAAGAAGTTGGATGAAAATAAGAAGAAGAATTCCAGTCCAGCAAAAAGTGTCTCTGCAGAGAGCTCCGCTATTTCTGACAGTTCTCTGACAGTTCTTTGACATTTACAGCGGTTGCAACAATGTATCTATTTGTTTCCGAATAAAAACATCTGTATCCTAAATGGAAACAAATAGATACAATGTTTCAACCGCTGTAAATGTGAAGGAACTGTCAGAGAACTGTCAGAAATAGCGGAGCTCTCTGCAGGGACACTTTTTGCCGGCTGTAGAAGGGATGAAAATCGGCCGATTTTTTTTTACCATTGATGGTAACGTCGGCCGCTTGAACGACCGAATTTTCGTTTTTTTAAAAGAAAAATCTGCCGTTTTTCTCCCCATCTATGGCCTGCATAAGTAATACTACAAAGGTATTTTCTTCCAGCCACATTGGCTGCTTTCCCGCTGCCCTATAGCAGAAATACTGCTACAGGGCGGCAGGTTTCTGCAAAATCACGTATATATACACATATATGTGATTTTGCATGTCCGAGTAGGGGGCGGGTGCAAGCGCGCCCTAGCCACACCGCCATTAATGGCCTCACCTGTCGATCGCCGTGCATCACCGACGGGGGGAAATACCTGTATGTAAACAATACTGATCTCTCCCCTGTCCGCTCCTGCACATTGCTTTGTATGGCTCTGCATAGCAAGGTACTTCCACAGTAAATCACACACAGCCCACATAGTAAAACAGCACACAGTTAACCCTCCGATCACCCCAGATGTTAACCCCTTCCTGCCCAGTGCCATTAGTACAGCGTCAGTGCTTTTTATTAGCACTGATCACTGTACTGGTGTCACTGGGGATGCCAGTGACAGTCAGTTCCACCCCCCCCCGCGTCAAAATGCCAAAACGCTATAACTTTCATGTAAACCAATTTGCACATATTGGGATTTTTTTTTTTTTTTAACAAAGACGTAGCAGAGTATATTTTTAACATTTTTTTACTGGACATGTTTTAGAGCAAAAGCAAAAAATATTAATTTTTTTTTTCTCAAAATTGGTCAGTCTTTTTTTTTTTTGCTTATAGCACAAAAAATAAAAACCCGCAGAGGCGATCAGAAAAAATAAATAAAATTCCAGTATCTATACCGCCATTTGGTAACACTAACTTTCACGTAAACCAAATAAATTACATGTATTGGAATTTTTTTTTAGCAAAGACATGTAGCAGAATACATTTTGGCCTAAATTTATGACGAAATTAGAGTTTTACATTTTTTTTACTGGATATGTTTTACCTCCCTAGCTGTCCGATTATGTGCATATTTCTGTGCTCAAAGCGGTACTTTTTTTGCATGGAAATATGTTTTTTTTATTGTAGGCCTGTAATTTTTAAGAATAACTCACTGAAATCTGTCCAAACAAGAGTCTAGTATGTTAAAATTTGAAACACGAAATCATAAATTATAATTTAATATAAAAAATATAATAATAATAAATTTAATTCAATAATATAATCAAACCAAAAACACTGAAATTTGAAATATAGCGTCAAGTTCGCACATCACTGAGCAAAGTTGCAAAATCATTTTCAGTGTCTGATGATGAATTTCCCCCACAAATCATTATCACTCAATTCTGCAAGTGGTTCTAATTTACTATCGCTGTTCTCTAGCTGGTCTAAAACCGATTTTGACCTAAAGGGACGCTTTTTGGACGCCATGGACATTTCTCAGTTTCCAGGCAGAAAGAACAGTAAACATGCAGGCAGGGCACAGGACAAAGCACTAGGGACAAAATGTATGTGAAATGGTTTGATACAGTAATGTTTTACTATGTGATTTTACTGTATTTAGTGAATGTCACTTTTTGTCATTTTCAAATTTCCCGCAGTTCCGTCCCCGTACGTCCTGACGTCGCAGGGGACAGAACCCAGATGACAGATACCGGCATCGGCCGGAGGACATTACAGGGGACACACTGCAGGAGGGACATCGCGGGAGCGCAGGACAAGGTAAGTGAAGAAGAGATCCCGGAGCAACGCTGCATGGTATTCCAGAGTGTAGCTCAGGGTTACCGCTTGTTGTACTGAAACTTTACCACGAGCTACACTCGGGAATACCGCCAGGGAGGTTAATAGCGAAACTCAAAAATGTTGGTTTTTTTCTCGTCTTTTTTTTATATAGCACAAAAAATAAAATACACACAGGCAATCAAATACCACTGAAAGAAAGCTCAATTCGTGGGGAAAAAAAAAAAAAAAAAAGGACGTAAATTTCATTTGGGTGTTGTCAAAGTAACAGTGCTGTATCGCAAAAAATGACCTGGCCAGGAAGGGGGGTAAATCCTCTGGAGGGCAAGTAATGAGTCTTTCAGGCCTCACACACACAGGGCGTTTTGCAGCCATTTTTAGGGGCGTCATGCGTTCTGTTTTTTTACTGCTTCCAAATGGCCCTCTATATTATCCTGTGTGCCCATGCACATGGACTTTTAGAAGCTTTTAGTAGCGTTTACTAGCAGGAAAGAAAAAAAAACCTAGGGCCAGTGCATCCAGGAGCAGCAGCGTTTCGGAAGGAAAAATGCTTGTCGCAGCTAAACGCTAAGTGCATGAGCGTTAATTCATTTCAATGGCCAGAATAAACTATCATTCTGGCCAATGAAATGAACGCCGAAGCGCTTGCCGCTTATAAACGTCCCTAAACGCTTGTAAAAGCATTAGCTCCTTTTTCGTTTTTTTGCGTTTTTTCTGCAAAGGAGGGCAGCTTCCAGGAGAGTTTCGTTTTTGTTTAACGTCCTGTGTGCATGAGGTCTTAGAGCTTTATTTCTAACTCTTGCCAAAGCACTTGTGAGGAGAAGCCCAAACCTGCAGCATCCTCCCATTTCTGCCCCATCACCTCAATATCAGGCAGAGTGCCGACACCTCGTACAGCACTCTTATTGGCTCAGTCCCTAATAGCAAGTGACCAATAGAAACTTAAACGGGCAGTAGGCACGCCCCCACACTCTCAGCACCTGCGCTTTGTCTATGAAAAGCTGGTATTCATAGTCCTGCACATTGTATCACGGACTTCCTGGTTCACTTCATACATCCCCTAAGCTGGGTGCAGATAGTGAAAGACCCACCCTGATTGGCTACTGTAGAGAGCCCACTCTTCGTACACTCACCTGGCCCCCGCCCGCTGGAAGAGTTCTGCCCACGAGTCCGGATCGAAGAACTCGGCGGTGAAGTGCGGGGCGAAGTCTGCGTAGGAGTAGCCGGGCGGGTAGTTCTTCTTCATGAACTGCACATAGGCCTGGCTCTTCTCCTGCTGCCAGTTCCACCAAAACCATTCACTGCCGAACGACGGCACAGAGAACACTCCCCAATGCAGGAAGATACCGAACTTCGCCTCATCGAACCAGGCCGGCAAGGGCCGCTTGTCTATGGAGTCCCAGTCGGGGGTATACTGTGTGGAGACCCCGCTCAGCAGGGCGCACAGGCACACCAAAAAGCTGCCACAACTAAGACTCGCCATACGAATTACAACCGGCTTCTGCTAATGCTGCAGAGCCTATCATGAGACCGGAAGAGCGGCACCTATTTACAAACTGCAGGGACCGCCCCTCTGGGCTCATCAGCCCCGCCCTGTGCGAAATGCATAGATCTCATTGGATGGCTCTACTCATAGAATCAGAGAGCCTTGTTGTCACCCACGTGATCACACATTTCAGGGATTGTACTTTGTACGCACCACACAACGTTACAGAAGGCAGTATAAAACAATTATGTACTTGAAGTAAATAGTAAACCATAAACATTGTCATGAAATGGCAGTTTACCTACTTGACCTCCAGAAGGTTTTACCCCCTTCATGACCTCCATTTTTTGCTGTTTAGCATTGTGCTACTTTTAACGGGTAATTGCTTGGTCACACAACACTGTACCAAATGACTTTATCATTTTTGTTTTCCACACAAATAGAGATTTCTTTTGGTGGTATTTGATCACCACTGGAGTTTTCTATTTTTTGCTATAGAAACATAAAAAGACCAAAAATTTTGAAAAAAAAAAAAAATCTTGTCAGTTATAAAAGCATTTCATAAAATAAAATTTCTCCATGAATTTAGGTGAACATGTATTTGGTAAAAAAAATGATGGAAATAAAATCTAACTTTTGTTGACATATTATAAGAATGTCTAATCTGTAATTTGATGCCTTTTGAAGATTTTTCCATCTTTCCTTGGCTTCTTTATGCACATTAATACAAATTTTTAGCTGGGGTGCCCAACCTTTCAATCCCCACTGTATTTGCTGAGAGGCATGTTGAGTCCATGGAAAACTTTATTTTTTGCCACATTTTTGGTCTTATTAAATTTTTTTTATTTTTTTTACATAATGTCATTTTAATGAGATATTTCTCATACATGTCATGGTTATACAGCAGGTAAAATAAGTATTGAACACATCACCATTTTCTAGGTAAATATATTTTTTAAAGGTGCTTTTCACATGGAATTTTCACCACATGTCGTTAACAATCCATACAAAGAAACCAAAACAAATAAGTTCAGAAATTAAGCTATGTGTAATAAAATGGAATGACACAGGGGAAAAGTATTGCACACGCCAACTGAAATTTATTTATTATTTCGTACAAAATCTTTTGTTGGTAATGACAGCTTCTAGACGTCTCCTGTATGGTGAAACTAGTCGCGCGCATTGCTCAGGTGTGATTTTGGCCCATTCTTCCACACAATCTTCAAATTTTGAAGACTCCCTGGGCCTTTCTGTGAACTCTGTTCTTTCCATAGATTTTTTATTGGATTCAAGTCAGGTTATTGGGTGGGCCATTCTAGCAGCTTTATTTTCTCTCTTTGAAACCAATTGAGAGTTTCCTTGACTTTGTGTTTGGGATCATTATCTTGCTGAAATGTCCACCCTGTCTTCATCTTAATCATCCTGGTAGATGGCAGCAGATTTTAATCAAGAATGTCTTGGTACATTTTTCCATTCATCCTTCCTTTAATGACATGAGGTTTGCCAGTACCGTATGCTTAAAAAAAAAAACAGCCCTACACCATGATGTTCCCACCTCCAGACTTCATTGTAAATTTTTCTCTCATCTGACCAGACTATATTCTCCCAGTATTTCACAGGCTTGTCTAAATGTTGTGCAGCAAACATTAAAATGAGCCTCAACATGCTTTTTCTTCAGCATTAGAGTCTTGCATACTCAGTGTGCATACAGGCCATGGCTGTTGAGTGCATTACTTATGGTTTTCTTTTAAACAATTGTGCCTGCTAATTCCTTTCTGAAGCTCTCCACAGGTGGTCCTTGGCTCTTGGACAATTTTTCTGATGTTTCTTTCAGTCCTCTGTCAGAAATCTTGCAAATAAGCACCTGCTTGTAGTCTGTTTATGGTGAAATGATGTTCTTTCCACTTCCGGACTATAGCCCCAACAGTGCTCATTGGAACATTCAGCTGTTTAGAAATCCTTCTGTAACCAATGCCATCAGTATGTTTTGCAACAATAAGGTTGCAACGGTATTCAGAGAGCTCTTTGCTTTTACCCATCATGAGATATTTCTTGTGTGACACCTTGGTAATTAGGCACGATTTTATAGGCCATCAGTTGAGACTGAAGCAGCTGATTATAATTTGCACTGACAAGGGGCAGGATTGCTTTCTAATTACTGTTAGACTTCAGCTGGTGTCTTGGCTTTGCATGCCTTTTTGCACCTCCCTTTCTTCAGGTGTTCAATACTTTCTCCCTGTGTCATTCCATTTTATTATGCATAAGTTAATTTCTGAACTTTTTTTGGTTTCTTTGTATGTATGGAATGCATGGGTTTTTATCGACCTGTGAAAATTACATATCAATAGCAGCTTTAGAAATATATTTACCTAAAAAAAAAAAAAATGGTGACGTGTTCAATACTTTTTACCCGCTGTATGTAGAATTGCACCACAAAACACATTTTACTACTTTTCCCGAGTATGGGAATAGCACATGTGAGAGACCTTTTGGAAGCCTAGCCTTGTACAGGGGCCAAAAATCCAATGACCACCTTCAGGCTTTCAAAAGGGCATAATTTCCTCATTTCACTTCCTAACTACCTATCACATATGCAGAGGCCCTAAAATGCCAGGACAGTATAAAACACCCTCAAATCATCCCTTTTTGAAAAGTAGACACCACAAGGTATTTGCTAAGAGGTATGGGGAGTCTTTGGAAGATCTTTTTTTGCCACAAGTTTTTGAAAAATGAATTTTTTTTACAGTTTCACAGTTTTTACAATATCACAGTTTTAGAGGCCCTCAAACGACCCCTTTTTGAAAAGTAGACACTCTAAAATATTTGCTAAGGAGGCAATGACGAGTATTTTGCAGATCTCATTTGTTGCCACAAGTTTTTGAAAAATTAAAAAAGAAAACAAGAATATATTTATTTTTCAAAACCTTGTGACAAAAAACCCTTGTGCAAAATATAAACCATGCCTCGTCAAATACCTTGGAATATCTTCTTTCTAAAAAGGGGTAATTTGGGGAGTATTTGTATGATCCTAGTATTTTAGGGCTTTAACTTGCGATAGTCAGGAACTCAAATGCGCAAGTGATGCCCTTTGAAAGCCTGAAGGTGCTCAATGTATTTTGGGGCCCTGTACACGGGTAGGCTCCCAATAAGTCTAACATATGTGGTATCCCCATACTCAGAAGTTGCAGAATGTGTTTTGGGTGTGTAATGCCACATGTACCCAGGACATGCGTGAGAAATATCTAATTAAAATCTTCCATGGACTTAATATGTCTCTCAGCATATAGCTTGGGGTGTCTACTGTACAAAAAAGGGGTCATGGGGGGGGGGGGGGGGTTGAAGTGTCCTGGTATTTTGGGGCCTCTAAAAACATTACGTGTATGGCCAGCATTAGGAGTTTCTGACATACTCCTAATATTGATCATACATGTAATGTTCTTTTTTTCCCCATTCAGCAGGTTCCTTCATTGACATTGCTGTGGATGAAGAAATCTCTGCCAGATAAGGTATATGCCCAACATTAGAAGCTTGTGCCACACATCCACCCCACGCATCTAATGCTGAGCAAACATGTAATGTTCTTTTTTTTGTTCAGCCTGTGGGCTTCATATAGTTCACTGTGGATGAAGAAATCTCTTCCAGAAAAAAAAAAAGTATATGCCAAAGCATAGGAACTGCCACCATGCTCCTAATGCTGGGCATACACTTTCTTATTTTTCAACTGCTGATGGAGAAATCTCCCCTTGCTGCGTTGCAGGCACTGACGTATATATTCTGATAGCAGCATCCTGGTGCTGCGAAAATACATAGATCAGTGGCGCAGCTGATTGGCATTCCTGCAAAGCAACATTTTTTTTTTTTTTTTTTTTTACATAACAAACATGTCTACACTTACCTGCTGTGTGCAGTGGTTTTGAACAGAGCAGCCCAGATCCACCTTCTCAGGTCCCCCACAGGCTCTCCTGGCTTCTACCTCCTGTTGTGTGCCCCCACAGCAAGCAGTTTGCTATGGGGGCACCCGATGCTCTGTGTGTCCATTCACACATGGAGCCACAGCTCGGCCCGCCCTATTTCTCCTCATTGAGTCACTTGCCAATGGCTCCTGCTGCAGTCTCAGCCAATGAGAAGAGGGAATCCTAGGATAGCTGAGATTCTAGTGCACATTGTTGGGGGAAGGGGGGAATACTGCACACAGACGGTTTTATACCTTCATGCATAGAATGCATGAAGGTGAAAAAACCTTCAGCCTGTAAATCCACTCTAACTTTTTTTTTTTTCCTATTTTATTGAGTTAAACTTAACTAAATTTCAAATTTTCAGAAAAATAACCTTTCCAGCTTTTGATTTTAGATGTGTGGTTCCTTTCATTCTAAATCGAAATTCAGACAAATATTTTGTTATTCAGTAATTGGGATGTATCCGAATTTCCAAATTACAATAGTAAGGAATTTAAACAAATCTGAAATAAAGAAACTAAAATTATATCTGAAATGTGAATCGAATTCGAAAACAAGAATAGAACAAACTAGAAAATAAAGAATTAGCATAAAACAGAACGGAAAATAAAATAGAATGGAAAAGAATAGAGTAAAACAGAACAAAAAATAAAATAGAAAATAGAGTAAAACAGAATAGAATATAAAATAAAAACAGAATAGAATAGCAAAAATAGAGTAGAACAGAATAGAAAGAATACAACAGTCTTCCAAAATTTGAATTTCGAATAGAATAAATCCAAATACAAAAGAAAAAGAATAGAATGTAAAATAAAATAGAATAAAATACAATAGAATAAAAGAATATAAGCGTCTTCTGAAATTCGAATAGAATACAAAAAAAATAGAATAGTATAAAATAGAATATAAACGGTCTTCAAATTTGAATACAAAAAAATCGAATACATAAAGAAAAATAAAAATAAAATAAAAAAAAAAAAGAATAAAATAGAAAGAATATAATTGTCTTCCGAAATTCGAATCTCTTGTAGAATAAATTCC